CCTGAAAGGGTAGGCAGAGGTGCACATTACGGCACTTATTGCCACTGTACAATGTAACACCCACTTTTCACTATTTATGTTATGAGTCCCATGTAATAGGGCGTGAGCCTGTTGCCATATACCGGGCACATTTCCAGACTCCGTGCTACTACTGAGGTTTTTACAAACCCAGTAATACTGTACCTGAAAATAATGGTGGAATGAAATGGGGCCCTAAAAGTCAGTAAGAGGCTGACAATCGCCTTCGTCTGACCTACGCGAGGAGCGGCTTCTAACTAGATTCCTATTCCATTTGCTTGCAAATATAACCCAGTACTTTTATATGAACGAGCTAACGAGATGCAACAGAACAATGTCTCCAATAGCCTTAAACATACTAACACAAAAGTCTAAAATACCATTTATAACAAAGAAATTTTCACTCGAAAGAAATCTTCAACGATTGGCAACAAAACAAGGAACAATTGTTAAATAAATAACAGTTGCAGTAAACCTGTAGTTGTGACGTCCCAATATAACGACACTATCTATTAAGAGGTGGGCAGGACTGGTCGTACAATGCGCGACAATGTTAGCCGTACGATTGTTTGTAGTGTGACCAGGATTTTGTGTTTTAGGAGAAATAATATGTTCAGTATTTTTTGTCTGACTGTAAGCTTCGTGTTCCTGATGTATAATTTTAAGGGGCGTGGATTCTAGACTTGTGTTCAATGATTAACTCGTCAAGTACCGGTTTTGTAGACACAATTATAGAACAATAGGTTGCGGTCACCGGTGGCCGCTTGGTGTTTGACAGTTTAAAAGCGATTACTGTTCTAAAGCTTAGTGCAATATTCATCTAGCTCTTTTGGACAGAACTGTATTAGGAAGAATCAATTTCTCAACAATCCGATGATTATTATTATAAATGCGAAAGGTTGTATGTTTGTATGTTGCTCCTTCGCGTCAAACGGCTGAAGATATCAGGATGAAATAACAGGGGAAGATTATGTTCTGAAATAACTTTTTATCCCACGAGGACGCGGGCGAAGCCGCTAACAGAAATTAGTATCATCATCATCATTATCATCGTCACATCACACTTGACGATATCTTCTGCCAGACATGAATTTTATTAAATGTCGATAAATAGACAACTTAAACAAACATCACCCCCTATATACAACATCTATTAGTTCATGATTATACTTGTCCCGATATACAGCGTGTTACAACATGGTGTCTCCTCCATTATTCAGCAACCGATTGACATGTCACCGTGCGCGGTGTAGAGATCGAACCGATTGAGGCGCTTGCGTTTGCGCAGGTTTCGTAGCGACTTTGGAAAGGTATTTTGCTTTTGTAGTTTTGTGAAAGATTTGAATTTCATAAAATCTTCGATTTTCGTTGTAAGGCTAGGTAGAAAGATACGTGGTTGGTGAATAGTGTGGGGCGGTTGGAATTTTAAGATTAAAATTTTTAAATGTTTGTAAAAAGTTCTAGACTAAAATCTTTTAGCTCAGTTGCACTAATAATCATGTATTTGTGATCTAAATTCGATTTCCTATTTGGATGAATGAAAGCTATTTCGTTTTCTTTGTATCATACCCGTCTAAACGTCGTTGTCGGTAAAAATCGATAGATTCGCAGCTTAGTTCTAACAGCTGTTTTTTTTTACAAAAAATACCAAAAACTTATTCTAGAAAATCGATAAATATCTTCATTCAACACCGTTTTAAATAGCAAAATTAAAAAAGCAGGTGTTGGGTCGACTAGTGTGACAATAAAATACGGTTTAAACAAAACTCCTACCGCGGAACCCCGCGGTGACCACTTTAGACCTTCTGAGAAGGACACACCACACAGAAGTGACTCATTTTAAACCTTTATTGTCTAAAATTTAATACAATACTTTGTCTATGGTGTTATTTAGCGGTGAATTATTGGAATACGACATTTTTAAATGTTTCTATTTAAGAAAAAATTAAATAGAAAGTTGAGTTTCGGATATTCGTAGATTTCCTGGGCAAGGTTTCAAGAGCGTGATTGTATTATTGGATCGAATTCCAAGTTTAATAATGTTCAATTATTTAATGGTTCATTCTGCTTTGATCAAATTGTTTGGATTTTAATACCTTCCCCCGTAATAAGCTTTTGTTAATATTTCTTTCTAAACTTGTAAATCGTCGTCCGTGTTCGAAAAAGATCATCCAAAAACTTGTCAAAAGCTTGATTATGAAATCCATCTTTCTTATTCCCTTTTAAAAAATACGAAAAGTCAACAAAATCTCAATTTATTTGCGGCAAATAAATCATAAAACAGACGCTGTGTATTCGTCGGCCATATTCGAAAACGCCGTACCGAAAAGAGGCTTAAGGTCCTTTATTTGGTCCAATTCTTATTTGGGACCCTAATAAATCTGTCACTTGGACACTTAAGTATTTAAAAATTTAAATTCTTAATATTATTTGCTCATGAAATTCGTAATAAAGTGATATATTATTTGACGAAAACCAGCATAAAGAAACAGCTTGTTATTTGAGTATGAAATTTATTTTTATTATTTTGAATTCTTCTTATGTGTATTGTGTTTTTGAGGTCAAACCGTGTGTTATTAAAGAGCAGTAAACATTTATACCGTTTGATACTTTTTGGGAATTATTTATTTGCTCATTTTCCGCCTACGGCATCACTCATGTGTTCAAAGGAAATTGTAGCCTATATCACTCTCCAACCTCTTAACCAGATATCACGAACCACAATACAGAGCTGCAACGTGAAAATAGAAAAGTGTACCCACTTTCGCATTTATTAACAAAGATGTTACTACAGGTCAAGATCTGTCTGAACTCTGGATTCCATATAAATCAATTCAGTAGTTTTTGTATGCAAACATAACAAACATCTTTAGATCCGTAGTCAGTAATTTCCGTGTACCTGATAAAGACAAAATGAATAAGACAGAAGTAATTATTTCGGAAACAAATTGACATTTTCAACGTTAACATCTTTTTTCCGAGTCATACATTTATACAGTTATGCTTTCCTTAATGAAGCACACACTAAATACCTCAGGAAATACCATAAAACACATGCACTACAGAACGGGTACAATTTACCATAGATACGCGAGGGTTGTGTAGCAGGCAGTAAGCACTAATTGGTTATTCGACGAAAAAACTAAATAAACCGTAAAAAAGTACACCGCCGTAAGAAACGAGTGTAATTGCCAACTGGTTTTTCATGAAACATTCATGATGTCATGATTGAGTCGCTCACATTGAGGGGGCAATTACACTTTTAAAATGCTCAACTGACAGACTTCAGCTGCGCTGATTACTTGAAAATAAGCAAAAAAACAACACTTAAAACGGACAAAGGTTGATTATTACGTAAAGTTATTCATTCTGTCATTAAAACTTACCGTCGAGGTCTATTAAGAGTTTTTATTCTAGAAATATGTCAAGTATTCGAATGGTTACACTACAACAATGGCTAATGATCGCTGATAAGGTGAAGACCACAATGCATTTTACATGAACAATTTAATTTATAAAATCATTGCCGATGCAGCTCCTGTGTTGCCTTAATGACTTGAAGGACCTTGCAAAGAAAATCATTTTAAAAATGTAAATAAAACGTCAAATCAAAAAGCCCGTCTGCGCGAAATCTGTAAAACTTGTTCCACATCAAGCAACAGTTTCAAAACTTTCTTCCTATTCAGAGGACAATCTGTGCATATCTCTGTCTTTGTCACACGTACACATGAGAACAGACAGATCGCGTGGGCGAAAAGGACAGAGTACATGAAGACGTCACGCGGGGCGAAGGCGCGCGAGTGTTCTTGCACTTGTTTTATTTATTTTGTTAGCCGGCAGCTTTTTTTTCTTCGTTTTCTCGAGCTACGTCTTTGTTCGGGTTCGGTCGGGGCGCGCAATCGTCCGTGGCCGGTAAGTTGGATAATTTCTTTATCCTACTCAGCCCACCCGACAATTTTCTGGGGCCGCATTATTATGAGGTTGATTTGTTTAATAATTTTATTACTGGGCGCATTGCGCATGCGCGCGAGCTATTGTGTTCTTATTTTTGTTTAGCTTTGCGCTTTTAGTGGTCGCTTTACTTTTGTTTTTCGCTGTAAACGTGGGAATGGATTGTTTTCTCATTGTTTATCTGATTTATCCATTGTTTTGCTGTTCATAGCTAATATCTATTTTATTAAGCAGTCGACAAATTCCATGTTCAATGCCTTGTACAGAATTTATGCATTACTTATTGCGAGTCAGGAGTTAGCTATTGTTTAATTTCAATGGATACCGTAGCTTTAAGTATTTAATACTAAACTTTTGTTTGTGTACAAGTTAATAGACACGACCTTAATTGTTTGGTCACTACAACTTGCGAAATGTTCACATGTGATGCGCTATAGTATCCAGTTGTTTGTATAGGGTTTTTTGTCGAAAACCTTCCAGACATATTACGTCACGGATGCCGGTGGATTGCGAGCGCTCGTCCTCTTTTTATTGCCTGCGGAACCCCACTGTCAGGCCTTGGATTCGCACCGAGATGTCCCCGACGATACTCCGAATACTTGAATAGGGATCGTGAAAAAAGTTTCAAATGTGTCATTGTGTTCAACCTTTTTGGCAAAGCATTCAAATATTGTCATTGGCAAACGAGATTCTGTAATTAAAAGACACCCAGTGTTGGAGAAAATAATCTTTTAATATTCCTCTCGTCTTATTAAGGAATGTTATTTCGTCGAAAAACTTGACACAAGTCAGTTTGGGGCAGGCATTTGAATCAGGTCGTCATTTTGATAAGATGAGCTTATGAGAAAATTTTATTTAGCAATTACATGATGAAATTATGGTTGTGATTTGAGGGATCTTAAAATGTTAATGTTACTTGGAACATTTAAGCAAAGAAGCTTATAATTATGTGGTAATATTCATTTAAGGTCATTTACATAGCATTTTAGGTTTTATAAATTTTTTTCTTATGCGAATTTCTTTTTTAACAGGCTGGCAGCAGCGGCAGCGGCGGCAGCTGGTGCAACAAGTGAACTAAGCTATCTTGCTGCCCTCCATCCAGCGTATCGCCCAGTACCTTATGATCATCCGTTGTATGGAGCAAATACGTTAAGAGGTAAGTCTTTATCAGCATTTTCATCCACGGAGTCTATGTAGTATTGTCGAAATAAGTGCATTTTTTTCTAGAACTACTTGATTTAATCCAAAAATTAATTTATCTTAAAGAATTGCAACCCAGAAGGATTCCTTTAGACTTTTTGCGTTAAATCATATGCAAATGGTATGAAAATGATTAACTTTGTCAAATAAACGTATTTATTTCTAACTTATACAGTCAATCACTTGTTTCTACATCGACACAGTCATGAATTTTGATAACTTTTCTTGATTCCAAATGATCTGATTAGTGTATCTTTTAAAGATGACTTCGACTGACTAAGAGATGACATTCGATTTAAATTTCAACGAAAACGAAGTTCGTGACTGATCAGCAGTCGGAATTTATATTCAAATCGATTTTCCAACGTAGTAATTTGTATAATTAAAATCTTTGTTATTCGTCGAGCCAGACTAAGAAACATAAATTGGACTTCTTTAAAAAGTCCAATTTTGTTCAATGACTGCAACGCTTTTCACAATATTGGAAAAAAAACACAATTTTGTACAACAACTACAACGATATTTCATTATTTCATAATTAATTCTTTTATTTTTAACAAAAGATGCGGTATCCATTGTTTTTCCTCAAACATCGGTTTTTGTATTGTACTTACGCAGAACCCTTGCGACGCGGTGCCATGGCAATAAAAATACCCGCACCGGCATCGAACTTATAAACCGCCATAAGCAGGACAATGAAAAACAATCCGATAAGTCGCAATTAAACTTGAGACACGATATCAACCGCGATGCACAGGCTAGGGTTGTCACATGTTGCGATTTAAAAAAAAATAACTTCAGGAATTAAATAAGAGGTAGAAACATGCCTTCATTATTTTGGACAATTTATTAATTTCATCAATATAGCACACAAAAATTGATTGAAAGATATGTAGAAGTAAAGAGCATTTATTTAATTTATAGAGCGAAATAATATTCCTGACCGCAGGCACTTATAGCAAAATTGAGTATCATGATATAGAAAGAAGTTATCAAACCAAATAATATGTACCTCTACAGGTGAACTTACTGTAAAATATTAGTATTATAAGTACTGATTTATTGAGTCTGATATTGATCAAACTCAAAAACATTGTGTCTGGTCAAAATATTCACTAAAAAATCGCAGCCAATACGGTTGCATTCCAAACATACATTTCGGTGAGTGTGCGGGGGAATAGCACAATTTGATTCCTTCTAGTCCTTTCCATCATTGTACCCCAAGACCATCGACGAGGCGTCACTGATTCATGATAGATGTCCCACCCACTCCAAGCGCTTCGCATCAAGCTTCCTTGTGCGTACTGCTAAGGAGTGGAAATCTTTGCCAAAATCTGTATTTCCTGAAGGGTATAACCCGAATGTCTTCAAGGCCTGAGTGAATAGGTTGCTTATGGGACGACGAGTTCCATCGTAGACCGCGTCATTGCTTACCACCAGGCGAGATAGTGGTCATACGTCGGCCTATGCAATCTTCTTTATATATATAATTCTTCTGTGAGTGTGTATGTCACTGAACTCCTCTCAAACGACTGGACAGATTTTGATGAAATTTTTTGTGTGTTCAAGGGGATCTGGGAACGGTTTAGATTCACAAATCAGCCCGGCAGATGTCGCTGCAGTTGATGTTTAGGTTATTTATCCTAAACAGCTGAACTAATTTGAATGAATTTTTGTTTATACATTCAAGTGGATATGCAGGATAACGTCTGTTGGGTCCGCTAGTATATAAAAAAAACTATCGACTCAACTTTGAAACTGCATCAACCCTCAGACGTGTGAACTCAGTAACGTTACACTACACCCGTGATGATAAATCTGCAACACTAGCCAGTTATTGCAGATTACATGCATAGCCAGACACTGACATCGCCGTGTGTTGTAGTTGCATCCGTTGCAACTGCAATCGAAGCAACGATTGCTATTTTATGAAAGTATTTTATATTCATAGGAAATCGTTGTTTCGTCTAATGGTTGCGTTTTGATTGGCTTGTTATTCGACGTACAGGTGGAGTTGCCAGACATGAGAGCGGTAAATGTTCAACTTTATTATTTATCAATTAGCAATACAGTTTTGGAAAGAATTATTTTAATATCAGCTTACTAAACCAGACGAGTACCGTGTACTAACGAAGTAAGATACATAGATTGTCTTCAAAAAGAAAAATCGGCTATCTTTAAACATACCATTTACGCCTTTTATCCCCGAAGGGGTAGGCAGAGGTGCACACAGAAGTAACACCCACTTTTCACTATTTATGTCCAATGTAATAGGGGGTGAGCCCATTGCTATATACTGGGTACATTTTCAGACTTCGTGCTATTACTTAGATTTTTTTTAAAAACTCAGTATTACTTTGCCCGACCCGGGAATCGAACCCGAGACCCCTTGCCCGGCAGTCGCAATTGCGACCACTTGGCCATCGAGGAAACTGCTTTAAAGATTTTGATAAATCATGTTTTCTTAAAAGACTGGTAGTTATTTTAAAGACAACTCTCTCTTTGCTCTTTTTTGCACATCAAGTTTAAGTGTCACTTTATTTATAACAATCTAATTCTATAAACTATTTCACAAAAACTAATCTTGAAAACTGATTCTAGAACCAAAAGTCCACCGGATAAAATTTCCCTACTTTCGATACTCAGTAAGTACGGCGTACATTGCATATCTCACTGAAAGCAATGCGCAACGCCACGGCAGAACACTATCGCCACAATTTATCTCCAACCCGAGGTGTTAATTAGACATTGAACTCACGACTGTTACAATTCGTAAACCAAACAAAAAGTAACTTTTATTCAACAATTTTTAAGTTCAAAATGGTCTGGCGGTGCTTAGATGACAGATACGAAAAAGTGGCTATTAAGGACCGACCGTGGTTTGTCACGGGTTAAAATTGGCATGCATTTGAGTAACGAAGGGTTGGTTCCGACCTCGCAATTAAGACGTTTCAGATTACGTGAGCGACTATATACGGAATAAAACACGGTGAAAAGATTGTCTGATATGTGCCTTAGGAGATGCAGGGCATAATAGACTAGTATATTATTGTAAGCCTTCCTTGAATCGCTCGCTCTCATCGTCATTACTATTCTTAAAGAACATCTGGGTCTATCGGCTGTTATTGACTGAATTAATCGATTCCAAAATATGTATGTCTTCGATTTAATCATTAAGTCCCGATTACCCGATTTCACTTTCTGACATAGTATTGGGCAATAAAAGCAGAGTAATTTTACACAAAATCGTTCCATCCCTTGATTATAAATTACTGTTAATGTCTAGAAAAAATCTAATTCGACGAACATGACGTCAGAAACGCTTATTAAGACCAAACCATCCGAATTGATTGGTAATATAAAATAATGTCATTACGATTTTCAACGCTATTTACAACAATACGATTAGTCTAATATAATTATAAGTAATTCAATGTCATGGGACGGTTCCCCCATTGAGGTTTTATGGGCATTCCTAATCAATATAAACGCCGTTTTAAGATGGGATTTGAAATAACAAATATAAGAGACGAGTCTATTATTTTGTGTAGGCAACACGAAGTAAGGTACGCCGGAGCCGTAGCAGATGGATTGAATTTGTTGATGTTTTAGGTTCAAGGGTTAAGTTATAAGGAATTTGGTTTTAGTTGTATGTTGTAGTTATTGTAGTATGACTGCACGGTTGCAACGTGTCGCGGGTACGATTCACGCGTGGAACAATTCTTTTTGTGATCTACAGATTATCGTTCCAGGTCTGGTTCTGTTCACATTTTACAAACATACAAGTTCTTGTATGTTTGTAAACGCACCCACCCACGGTATACCACGTGTGGAGACACTAGAATTTTCTACTGAATTGTGTTTCAACGTTTTTTTTTAAAGAAAAAAAGTTTAATTGTAAAGAATTCAAGTTTATTTTCTACTAGCGACCCGCCCCGGCTTCGCACGGGTGCAATATGCATGTGTTATACATATAAACCTTCCTTAAGAATCACTCTATCTATTAAAAAAAACCGCATCAAAATCCGTTGCGTAGTTTTAAAGATCTAAGCATACATACGGACATACAGCGAAAGCGACTTTGTTTTATACTATGTATTGATGCTGTAACGATAGAATTAAATGTTGTTATTTAAGAGTGTTATGGTATAGTGAGTATTATGGTGGTTGAAAGAATTCCGTATTCGACCCAAGGCCCAGATTCCATTTTATCCAAGTTAGAATATCCAGCACATTAGGGCAAAAATAGTACCACCAAGAAACAATTTTATTCACAGATTTTCATATTGTTGATCTTGTTTCAGATAGATAGTCTTAATCTAGACAGCCTTGTGATTCATCTTCACATACATTTACTGTACTTTATTTTTCTCACCATTTTCCTGTTGTGCCCGCTCCTCTCCACTTTCTTGGGCCAGACATTTGGTTATACCCTCCAGTCTGCCCTGAGCTTTACACCGTACATTAGCGATTCGACGTGGACATATTTAGATTCCTCCTACGTACCTTTTATTTTCAAACTTTCCTGAATTCTCTCTCATATTGCTCGTTTATTGGGCGAGTTTTGTGGTCCGTAACCCGATGATTTGTACCTATTTTGATATAACAAAGGTTAATCTTGTTTAAATTTAATTTTAATCAGTCCAAAACATTTCAATTAGTTTACCTTTCCAATGTAAACGTGTTGTGGTGGGCCGGAGGTTTAAGAGGTCCACTTCTTATGCATAAGCGCACCCTTATTCGGTTCGAAACCTACCAGCGGCAAGTACCAATGTCATTTTTTCCGAGTTATACTTACTTGTTCGAGTTGTACTTTCTAATATTATCTAGACACCACTGACAAACGGTGAAGGAAAACATACTGAGAAAACCTGGGCTTATAATTTCTAACTATAAGTTTGTAATCGCCGCCAACCCGCATTGAGCAAGCGTGGTGATTAAAACAGTGGGCCTTTA